GATTAAACTCAGGGAAGGCATAAATGAAGGGATTCTGTCTCTCACACATCTGTTAAATGTGTTCCCTTTGGGATTCGGAGCTGTCGTCCAACTGGTTGAACTCAGCACCAGAATTCAGGAATGACATTGGGATGAGGTTGTGAGGGGAACATCACTAGGCCTTCACCCCAATGAAATGAAATGAAATTTCATTTCCCTCACAGAATCAGGGTTCAAGTAAAAGTTTGTTTCTAATTGAGATGGACCAGGCCCCTACTGCAGGCCCTGAGCTTCACCCTCGCTCTGCTCGCGTTTCCCTCCCGCACAGTGAGGCCTGTTCGTATCCCAACCCTTCCTCCTGATCAAAAACACCTGAATCCAGGTGGTTTTTGGACACCTGGGCTGGTTTCCTCCCATCTCAGCAACAGCAGGGTACAAACAGGGCCTGTTGTTCCCTCACAGACACATTAGAACCACCTAAATCCCATTTCCTCCTGAAACCTGAGCTGGTCCCACACAGCAAAGAACTGGGGGGGCTCTCCAAAGGTGAAAAGGGGGGATGTGCCCTCACAACCCCACGGAGAAAGCTTGAAAACCCCACAACTCTTTCCCAAAAGCTCAGTTCTGAGAATCTCTTTTCCATTTCCAGCTCTGAACATCATTTTTGGGGCCAAGAGGTGTGACAGGAGTCAGCTCAGGCAGGCTCAGCTGCTGGATTAGGACTTGCACAGGTGGGATTGGAGGTTTTGATGCTCAGAGCCTTTTCCAGTCCGTTGATCTATCCCCAGACTTTTCACCAGGTACAAACTTCGCAGCAGAACGAAGCAGCAGTGAATGTAAATGGGATGTGGAAAGGTTTTTGAGCTGATGTTTTAATGGTCTGCTGTTGTGCTCAGAGAGAAATTCCCTTTGACTTCAGGTAGAATCCCACTCCTCTGGCCCTCAGCTGCTCATTCCCAGGGAGCTGAAGTCTCCAGGTAATGTCCCAACAGCTGCAGAGTCTCCTGGAAGCAGGGATGTGGGAATAACCTGTCAAATAAATAAATCTGTTTGCATTTCCAGATGCATTTTGAGATATTTCTGGCACTTTCCCTGGGAGGGTGGAGAGGCCCAGATTCCCAGGGAAGCTGTGGCCACCCCTGGATCCCTGGAAGTGTCCAAGGCCAGGATGGACGGGGCTTGGAGCAGCCAGGATAGTGGAAGGTGTTGGGATTGGAGCTGGATGAGCTTTAAGGTCCCTTCCACCCCAAACCATTCCAGGACTCTCTGATTCCATGATGTCAGCCCCAGAGCTCGAGCTTGGCTGGATCTGGGCACAAAACCCACCAGGGCAGAGCAGACCGAGCTCAGGCGATGCGAAATTCAATATTTTACACCCACACCACTAAAAATAATCCGCCGCCGCCAACTCTTCATCTGGAAAGAGGAACCACCGATGTCGCTGTGTCTTGGACAAGGCACAACACTCAAGTCCTGACCATATTTAGCCATAAGATCATCTCCCAGGACTTCACAGAATCATGGAATCACAGGATGGTTTGGGTTGGAAGGGACCTTAAAACTCATCCAGTTCCAACTCCCGGCCATGGGCAGAGAATCAGGAATTTCTGCATGAGAGCGGAGTTTTAGAGAAAAATCTTCTGGCCAAGCGCCAGTTCTGCTGTTGTTATTTCTTTCTCCCTGCTATCTCCGTGCTTCATTTCATCCCCCAAATCACTGTATTGAGTTCCTGAAGGTTGCTAAAACCGGGTGGTGCTAAGGAGGCAGCAAGAGGGAGGAAATTCTGTCTCTAGAAAATGCCCCACACAGCTGAAACCAGGCCACCTATTCAGGTGTCAGGTTTAGATTTTGTCATTGTAAACACAGAAACCTGAAACATTTTTCCCAAATGTGTTGAAAGCTATAAAGACATTAAAGATTATTCATGGAATATTCATTTGCAGGAAGAGGGTTTGTTTTTTTTTAATGCATGAATACTTCAGGCAGGGTGTGCAGTTGCTTGAAGGAAAAGGTGATCATACTCTGAGTGCTGTTTAAATTGTTCCTGATATTAAGGATATCAGGAATTAGAGGTATCAGGACACTTCATTTTTAAGATTGGAATCCCAGAATGGTTTGGGTTGGAAGGGACATTAAAGATCATCCAGTTTCAACACCTTGCCATGGGCAACTTCTCCTTAAGTTAAAATCCTTCCTAGATTTTCTTTAACTGATTATTATTAGTGAAAAACTCCCTCAGAATCAGCCCTCAAACTTTCCCTCCCAAGTGCTGTAACACCATCACCTTGCTGAACAATTTTAATCACAAACACACTGCACTTGCTGCCCTGAACACCAGAAAATATCTTTATTTTATTCACAGGTCCCATCGGCTTTTTCCCCTTCGAAAACTCCATTTCCTGTGCCAGCAGCACATTAAGACATCGCAGCTCTCCCTCTCCAGCTTTCCCTGGTTCACAATTCCTATTTTTTGAGGTCGAGTCCTGGCTGATGCTGTGTGGAGCTCTGGTACCATCTACTGGGGGAAGCCTCAGCTGCTGGATGTGGTTTTTCCTCGCTGATGTCGCGACAGAAGTGGCGACAGCAGGACTGGGAGGGGAACAACCCAAAATCACCCAGACCTGGGGGTACTGGTGACAGCAGGTGAACATCAGCCAGCAGAGTTCTTCTGGCAGCCAAGAAGGACAATGTCCCTGGCCTGGATCAGGAATGGTGTGGCCAGCAGGAGCAGGGAGCTCATTCTTCCCCTGTGCTCGGCACTGGTGAGGTCACACCTCGAGTGCTGTGTCCAGTCCTGGTCCCTCAGTTTGGGAAGGACATGGAGAGCCTGTCCACAGGGCAACGGGGATGGTGAAGGGCTGGGTGTCGCCCTGAGAATCAGACATTTAGATATTGTTTTCATAATTTCTAGCTACTTTCCCAGGAAAGTGTTATAAATTTGTATTGTGATATTGGCTTTCGCAGATGAATATTATATATTAAATACTTTTTAGCTATGTATGTACTTTTTATCTTGCTAACAAGTCTTAAGTTTAAAAGAATTTCCTAGGTACAAGGCAAGGAAACCCCAGAGGGCAAGGACAGTGGGGCCCAAGCTGTTATCAAGAGAACAATAGAGGCCAAACTGTTATCAGCAGAAGATATGAAACCCAGCTGCCCTCAGGGGAAGGATGACGGGCCCGGACTGTTATCTGCCCTGACCATTTGCAAAAAGAAAGGAAACCAAACTCCAAAATAATGATGACCAGCAAGAATAATGATGACCAGCAAAAATAAATGCTGACCAGCAGAAAATAAAAATTGTACAAAAGCATGATCTAAGAAGGCGGAACCAGGGAGGGGACGCTTGGAATATGCATTAAACCTTCACAGTAGGGGGGGATAAAAAGGGTATCCCTGAGATACCAGGTGTGTTCCTGGCAAGGCGCCAGGAACCTTTTAACCGGCCGTTTTAACCCTTTGCTTTATTTCTTTTGTCTCCTAATTGTCTTTTGTTTATATTAAATTCTTTTTATAATTTATTAAGTGAATCTCGTTTTTAAGAAAAGTAACTGTAAACATAGGTGTTTATACATTCCATTAAAGATGTACCTTTTGATGGATGTCTCTCACTACCAGTGTGGTTGGGAAGGTGGTAAGCTGACTATCTGGTGAGGTTGTCGAAAACCTATAAATACTAAAAGAACAAATAAACTTCCTTCTTCTTTCATCTCACTTTGATCTGTGTGAATGATTTTGTGTCCGACAGTGACAGCTGGGAACACAAACGCTGTGAGGAAGGGCTGAGGGAGCTGGGGTTGTTCAGCCTGGAGAAAAGGAGGCTCAGAGGTGACCTGGGCACTCTCCACAAGTCCCTGAAGGGTGGTTTCAGCTCTGACTGAACCACAGGACACAGCCTCAAGCTGCGCCAAGGGAAATTTACGTTGGATATATTAGGAAAAGGTTGATGAAGTACTGGAATTGTCTGCCCGGGGAGGTGGTGGAGTCACCATCCCTGGATGTGTTAAAGAAACACAGCTTGAGGTGTTTGGGCTGTGTTGGACTCGATGATCTTCAAGGTCTCTTCCAACCTGGTGAATCTGAGTGACCAAAACTGCCCAAAGTACTCGAGGTGTGGCAACCCCAGTGGTGTGGGGGTCTTCACTAATGAAAAATGTAACTAATAATTTGTGAGAACCAATCAGGTCCTGCCAGAATGGGTGTGGGCATCTCAATAATTAGACATGTTTCTCTTACGTGGCAACTAAATGTGAAAGAGTCAATTAGGTGCTGGTAGAGGGTCTGGGTAATTACGTGCGAAATGGGTGTTAAAGTTTTCACTAAAGCCTGAATTGGAAGAAGCAATAAAGTTCGGGAGGAATGCCTGTGGGGGTTTAAGAACTTCAAACCGGGAAGAGTCGTTGAAGAGTTAAGGAGCTGGAGCTTCGGGGAAAAACGTGGAGGCTTAATAAATTTGTGAGTATGAACTTCATCCAGGGTTAGCTGAAAACGAGTATTGATGGTCATACAAGGCGTGATACGGGGATACGTGTTAAAGGGGGAATATGTAATATTTGGGACTGTACCTTCCTACTGCCTCGGCCAGGGGAGAAAAGAGGAGGGAAATGAGGATAAAAGGAGACTGTGTCTCCCAAAAATTCCACAGAGACCCCACAGAAGTCTAGCGCAGTGGCCTCTCTCCGTTATCCGAATAAAGTTGATTTTTGCGGGAATTCTCCCGTCTCTTGGTGAACGCTGTCCAGTGGCATTTCCCGCACCTGATGGCACCGGGGCCACCGTGACGGACACAGGGGACTGCACCCGCAGGGCGCTGCGCGGATGCCTGTTCTGTGGAGAATAAAGCGCTTATTGAGCGGTTTTTATTTACAGAGTTTTATTGAAGCTGCGCCAGCCCCCGGGCCGTGCCCTCACCAAACATGGCGGGCGCTGTGAGGGCGGAAGCGGCGCGCGGGGCCCGTCCCGGGGTCGCTGCTCCGGAAGCGCTCGGGGCCTTCAAAGAGTGGCGGGCGGCGGGAGCGGGAAAACACCGGGAACTGCGGGAAAACACCGGGAATTGCGAGAAAACGCCGGGAATTGCGGGGAAAACGGCACGGCTGGAAGGGCTGAGTGGGTAGGGGGAGCTCCTTGTGGGGAGGTTGGGCTGGGGGTGCGGTGGGGCCGTTGGGAGGGGGCGGTTTGGGCGGGGGTGCGTGAGGCGTTTGGGGTGAGGAGGGAGGAGAAGGGAAGGGGACATTAAAAGAAGGGACATTGAAGATCATCCAGTTTCAACCCCCTGACACGGGAAACTTCTGCTTAAGTTAAAATCCTTCCTAGATTTTCTTCGGCTGGTTATTATTGGAGCAGAATATAAAATTGGCTCAGAATCGGTCCTCAAGCTTTCCCTCCCATCGCTTGCTGTGGGCAGGGGTGCGCTGGGTCACGTTGGAATTTTTGGGAAAAAGGAGTAAGGGTGTTGTGCTGGGTGTTCCTGGTGACACCAGGGTTAGGGGGCAGCTCGAATTGTTAACAGGAGTTGTTATCGCGGAATTCTGGAATGGTTTGGGATGGGAGGAACTTTAAAGTTCATCCCTGTCAGTAAAATTCGGGAAGGAGAAAAACCCCTCCAGTGTCACGTAGTGATAGAGAGTCAAGCTTTACTTTATTCTGGCCAGGATGTGCCACGGGAAATATTCCATATACAGATGGCTTTTTACTAAACACCTTGCAGATTTATACACACAAAACCCAAAGTAATTCCCATTCATTGGTCCCAAATTTAAAGCTGCGTTGTTTCCAACAATCCAGTCCCACCACTTGCCGTGGGCAGGGACACCTTCCGATAGATCAGGATGCTCCAAGGCTCATCCAGCCTGGCCTTGGACACTTCCAGGGATCCAGGAACAGCCACAGCTTCTCTGGAAACCTGTGCCAAGGCCTCCCAACCCTCACAGAGAAGGATTTGTCTCAAAATCCCCTCTAACCCTGCCCTGTCAGTGGGAGCTCACTCCCCTGTCATTCCACAGCCAGTCCCACCAAACCCACCAGAAGAAAGGCTCATCTCATATTTGAAATTTTTCCTTTTTTCCTCTCCTTATTTTCAGGGTTCTCTGAGCTCTGGGGGGAAGCTTCAGAGGGTTTTGAGCTGCTGAGTGCACTGAGGATGAAACATCTGGCTCTAGTGTAATTTACCCAATAGAGAAGAAGAATTTGGGTCTTGGAGATGTCTTTTTCTTCCCCTGTTGAGGAAAACACCTTAAAAGTGCAAATGGACAGTCAGTGTTACCCTGATGGCTGCCAAGTAGTTCCAGTTTGGAAGTTGGTGGCCATGTGGCCATCAGAAAAGGAAGAGGAGGAGACCATAATCCTGATCAGTGATGATGATGATGATGAAGTGCAGTGCCCAGATGATGATGGTGAAGGGGAGAGCACCCAAGGGAGTTCTGTCCTGCTTGTAGAGCCACAAGGTAAGAACTGTTCCCTTGCTGCTGCTGGAGTTCCCTGAAAGGCTCGAGGAATAAACTGAATTAATTCTGTCTTATGCCTGAAATCCTGTCCTTGTGCTGCACAAGTGACTAAAACCAGGGGGGAAATCCCCAATTTGTGGGGATATATTTGATAGCACTACTTAAAAGGTTGCTGCTGTGTAGTTTTAAAATACTTCAAATCGAGTTCAGACTGGGCCTTTTCAATGTCGGCTGGGTTCTTTTTTGGTTTCATACCCTCTGGTTTGACAGTGCATGGAAGTTTTGTGTGCCGTTCTGTCAGATCCCAAAAAGTGCTTTGAAGTGTTCAAAAAGTAAATACCAGTAATCTCTAAAGAAGTTGTAGCTGCCTTTACGCTGATTTACACCTCCTGCTCTCTTTCCCGCAGAGAAATCTCCCCTGGAAGAGAATAAATCAGAGGAAATTGTGGATGAGGAAGGGGATTTGGTGGTCACCTACTGCAAGCAAGCAGATGTGATGCCTCACGCGAGACACGACTGCACCGTACACCCCTTCCAGTACGTCCAGGGCTATGCAATCCCACGTGGGGTCCCATTTCCCACATTTAGCTTTGAAAACAGCTGTAGAGCTGGGTAAGGATGTGGTTTTTCCTAAATAACCTGGTTTTCAACCTTGCAGGAGAACAGAGAGTGATACTTCCTCCCCCCTTGGGAAAAACGCAGATATTTGTGACGAGTGCTACTGCTACATCTGTGACAAACTGGCTGCCAAGGTAAGGGCAGGGCACAGCTTGCAGGAGACAAAATTGGGGATCAAATGCGAGCTTCAGCCAAGTCCTGTCTTAATCTCAGATTTTTGGCAGCAGCTCTGCTCAGGTGACTGCACCTAAATCACTCTGGCTCCCAAATTCCAGAGGACAGCAGGTCAGGTGTAATACAAAATGGGTTTATATGAGTATATATTTATTGGATAGGCAGGAGGGAACTGTGAAAGGGCTTTTAACAGTTACTTTTTACACAGGACAAAACAAAGAACTACAGCAGGCTGCATAAAGCAGTACACAACAATACCTGTACTATAGCTGGCAAAGAAATAGGATAGGAGTCAGTAATTATACCCTCCCAGGAAAGAGTTAAGGACTCAAAGAGAATACAGGAAGTTTGATTAACAGTTCCCAGTAACTACTAAAAGTGTGGTTTTATTGGGGTTTATTCCTAGGCTGGGCAGTTGTTGGAGCAAACATACATTTATTTTTATTATATGTCCTGTTTGCTTTGGGCACATATTGCATTTCATGAAAACAGATTACTAAATCTGACCTTTTTTTAAGGAATGAGAGAAATGCCAGCTTTTTAGATTGTCCTCACTGGAGTCAGGAGTGGAGGGAATTGTGTGGGGGTGGTTTGTTTGTTTGTTGGGACCTTCAGTGAGTTTCAGAAGACTTCGAGCTGTGAGCAAAGTTGGCAAAGACTGTTCCAGTTTCCAGTGGAGAGGGTGCCAGCCCTGAGTGTCTCTGTGAAGGGCTCAACAATTACACCTAATCAATAAAGGACTTCTTTTTGTAATCGTTGCCATGATATCAAATTGTTACCTGTCAAAATATTTACTCAGGTGCAAGAAGGACGAAGGGAATTGTGACCCCCTCACTCAGTGCTGAGGAGAAAACACAAGAATCCAACAGCCCCTCTGTTTTTTTCTGTGTTTTCTAACCCAGTGCCAGCTCTGGACAGCCCCTTCCCTGTGCCACTGTAATGCCCACAACAAAAGCAACTTCTGGAAGGCGCAGAGGAACTCTGCCCTGGCTGGGATCCTGGCCACCTTCAACCTGGAGCTGCTGGAGCTGGACACAGAGCTGCGCCACGGGGGTGGGTGCTCTCCTCCCCCTGGGACCTGGGGCTGCTCAGGCCCTGGCCTGAGGAACAGCTTGGCTGCTCCACACCAATCCTTGGGGAGTTTTTAAGGAGCAGATTGCTGTGCCTGCTTGCCTTTTGGCATGCTCGGAGCAGGGATGGGTTTGCAGGTGCAGATTCCCGGTTTTTTTTCCATCTGGGAGAGTCATAGGATGGGTTGGGGTGCAATGGGGCTGGAAGATCATCTCATTCCAACCCCCTCCCATGGGCAGGGACACTTCCCACACTCCCAGGGTGCTCCAAGCCCCATCCTTGGACACTTCCAGGGCAGCCACAGCTTCTCTGGGCACCCTGTGCCAGGGCCTCCCCATCCACACAGCCAGGAATTCCTTCCCAATATTCCACCTAATCCTCCCCTCTTCAGCAACAAAGCTTTCCTGACCAACAAAACTGGATGCAAACAATTTCCTAAATAATTTCACATGGGCAATTTTTTCTTTCTCCTAAATAATTTCACATGGGGAACTTCCTCTTTTGTTTCTTAAAAAAACATGCAAAACTCTTTGTGCATTTTTTTTCTTTCTTTTGATCTTGTCTCTTAGGAGATCTCCTAGAAAAATTCATCAAGGATCTTTCTCTAGCCTATAACAAGTACCTGATAGGAGAAAGGATGTGTCCCCCAGGACATGAATGCTTCTGCAAACCAAAATTGCCCCCAGGGCAGTGCAGTGTCTGCAGCTCACAGAACCTGGAGGTGGTGTACAGGTAAGTGACAGCAAATTTGGGTTTATCAGGGCAACTTTGATTTATTTAATGAATTATAATTGGAATTGTGGCACCTGAGGTAGCAAAAATAGAGTTGAGAGAGCTGAGTTGGTCATCAAGATAAACTGCACTTGGCTGTAGTTTAAAATTAATGTGTATTTAAATCTGTGCTGTGCAGGACACCTGATGATCTCTGATTATTGTAACCTGGGAAAGTGTGGACCTAAAGCCTGGGTTTTGGGGTGGCTTTAGGTGGGATTTTGGGAAGGAATCCTTCCCTGGGAGGGTGGGGAGGCCGTGGCACAGATTTCCAGAGCAGCAGGGATCTGCCTGGAAGTGCCCAGGGCCAGGCTGAGCAGGACTTGGAGCAGCTTGGAACAGTGGGAGGTTTTGGGGTTGAGATTTAAGGTTCCTTCCAAGCCAAACCATTCTGGGATTTTTACCAATTTCTTTCTTAGAACGAGTTTCACCTTTTCGCTGGTGTAACAAACCTTCAAAACACCCAAGGTATTGGTTGTGTCAGCACCTTCTCAGTGTGTTGGAGATCCTCTGAAGGCAAGGCAGGGCTCTTGACTGCTCTCAAGCTGTGGGATGGCCACAATTACCACTTGTTTAGGAAGTCTGGTTGTTGCAGAGCCTTGATCTTACAGGCCACTTGACTTTCACAGGTATTCTGATGTTTTCGAGCTGGTAACAAGATTTTTAAATCGGGCAGAACAAGAAAGCCCCAAAGCTGCTGCTGTCATGCTGCTGGGAGCAGCTAAACAGATTGCCCTGCACAAAGACCCTGCTCTGTAAGTACCTGGCCACAGAGAGTGGAGGGATCTTCCTGCTTTGCTCCAGGGGAGGGGAATTAGTGGGAGAATCCTGGGGGTTTGTTTATTGGGATTGAGGAAAGTCAGAATCCCAGTGGGGGCTGCAGCGCAGCGAGAGGAGGATGAACACACTGAGGGAGAAGTGGGATTTGGGGGAAAAGATGAGGTTGGATGTGAGAGGGAAAAGTTAAGAGATGACTTAAAAAAACCCCTGCCACGGGAAAGGCAGATTTAACACGAAACAACAAAGTTGGTTGGCAAGATTTGCTCTGCTGCTTACAGGAGAGTTTAGGCACAACAAAGGACAGCAAGCAACAGCAAACCCGAACATAATCCAGGCATTCAGAAAAGGAAACGAACCGAGAACCACCGAGGGGAGTGTGGGACAAAAGGAAAAGCAAAGATAAAAGCAACTCGGCCTTAAAAGCTTAACAGCACTCCCACTTAACAGCACTTTAAATTATACCTTAAGATGAACAATCAACAAAGAAATAGCCCTTACACCTAATTTAAGCTTAGCTTAAAATTCAACAATTTCAGGGAAATAACACTTAGCAGCATTTAATCTGACTTAGAGCCTCGAAGTTACACTTAGCAACACAGCAGAACATTTTTCAGCAGCACAAAGAGCTTTGCTTGGTGAAACGTGAACATTTTGGGGTGCAAATTCGGGGGGTTTGGTAAAAGAGAAGGAGATGATGTCTGGGTTGGTTTGAAACAGCAGCTCCCCTGCAATTCCTGCTGAGGAATGATCCAGGTTTGCAAGGAGCAGGCTGCATTTGCTACCTGGGAATTTTGCACTGTGTCTTGCACTTTAGCACTTGTTTCAGTCTTTGTAGGAATTTTTATCAGCGTGCCAGCTTCCAAGATTTCTCCTTACAAAGTGTTTTCCTCAACAGTTGAGTACAGAGAAGGTGAAAAGGCAGGAAAGGGAGCTGGGCATTAATTAGTGCTGGTTTTTTCCAGGCTTAGGAACTGCCAGAGCCTTGGCCACACTGCTTCCCTAAGGATTGCTGTCCCATTTCTGTTCCATAGGTAAGACTGGTTTCCTTGCTGGCTGCAGAACTTTGAGCTTGGCTTTAAAATACGTTTCAAGTGACAAATCCTCTGTTCAGAGGCACGTGGGAGGCCAGAGCAGGTTGTGGTTGTTCCACTAAGGAGTGAATTGTGGCTGGGAGAGGTCACAGCAGCAGCCTGGCAGGATTCCACTGGGATGGAGCACGGAAAAACTCCCCCAGAGGCTGGAGAATGAGGACACCCAGCTCCCTTGGCTTAATTCACTTCCCATTTTAGCTCTATCCTTCACCTTTCCCTCCAGATTCACCTGTCACAGAAGGTTGATGAGTGAAGAATTAAATTCTTTCCAGCCCAGTTCTATATTCTCACCTTCTCTGGAACTAATGACAGTATAGTGCAAAACTAGCACAGACAGGTACAACCTAAATATTTCAGCAGTTTTCATTTTAAATTGCTAGTCTTGATTTAATTTCTTATTTGGAACAAAAAAGGGAAGAGTTTTTTTACCTCTCTGCTAAAATTTTAAAGAGTGAGCTCTTCTTTTTTATCTCCACTTACCAATTAATACAAAAATGGTTCCAGTAGCTGGGAATGGTGCAGGAGCACGGGTCCAGCACAGTTTGAAGTGTTTGCTGTACACATTGTTTGGAGATCTTTGCTTTAAAGCTTAAACCTCACAGAACATTGGTTTTAAACAGCGCAGTAATAAAGAAGGAATTCAAATACAGATCCAAACCAAAAAAAACCCAAACTTGAGTAGTCTCCCATATAATTAAAATAAAGACAACTTGTTAGTAACTCACCTTATTTTAAAATACCCTTTTTGAATTGTTTTTCTTTTTAAATCACAGGATCACAACCCGCCTGCAGAGGATGCTGGTGTTGTGTGACTTCCCAAAAATTCTCTATGAAAAGTTTGTTGACTTCTTTCATTCCATCTCCCTTCCCTGTCACTGCTTTGCCTTTGCAAACAGGTGAGTTCTTGGGCTTCTGTTTGGATCCAGTTGCCTGTGGAATGTTCTTTCCCTGATAATAAAAGTGGAATTTTACAGGAATATTTCAGTATTTGCTGCTTTCCTTGTTTGTTTGACGCCGTGCCCGAGCTGTTCTCCCTAACATTTATTTCCTTTCCCCCCAGAACTGGGCTCTAAACCCCAAAATGTTTTATTAATCAAACTTCCCAGTCCTTAAAGGAGCTAATTAGCGATGTACAACAAAACACAGTTAAAAATAACTTTGTTTTTATCCTTCCAGCTTGAATGTTTTGCACTGGGACCACATGTTACTGACCACAGTTTTAAAAGGGCAGAACATCACTGGGCAGAGGAGACAGAAAGGAAGGAAAATGTACCTGTGGGAGGCATTCCCTGTTGTGGAAGCTCGAGTGGAGAAACTGCTGGAGAAAAAAAAGTGAGATCGGTTTGGCTTTTTCATTTTGGGAACTCAGTTCTTCTATTTTGACAGTTCCAAACCTCTGTGCTTTGGTATAATTGGGATAAACAAAACAAAGAATTATTTTTATTTTTTTTAATTTTTTTTTTTTTCCTCAGCAAGGCCAGGAACTTTTTGAAGTTTCTCAAAGGCCTTGGAATGCCTCAGGACCGAAAAAATAGATTGCTGGAGTGGCTCATATCTGTGTCTCCATAAACCCTACAGGTTTTGCATGTTGATTTTTCAAGGAATTCCTCTTCATCAAAGGCTGACAAGTGGAGGGCACCCAGAATAGTCTGTTCTGGGTCTTCAGAGGGATTTCTGTACTCCAGAAAATCCAATATTCCAAAGCATTCAGTCCACTTAAAGAATTCAACTGAAAGGCAACCTCTGGTGTTACCTTGCCAGAGCTGAGATAACCTGGGGGTGACCTCTAGGGCTTTATTTCCAGCTGTGTTTCTGTCCTGCTGTGCAATGTCTCTGGTGTGGGAAGCTCTCCTTTCACTGTAGGAAGTGTTTTCCACTTCCTTCCCCTTCCTTCTCACCTTCTGGTTTCCTCCCCAGGTACAAGGAGGTTGTTCGGTACCTGAGAGCTGTGAAATGCAGTGAAAACGGAAGGTAAATGGCTTTTCCATTTTCCCTCTCTTTCCCTCATTTCCTTTTCCCCTCTTTTTCCACCCTTTCTTTTCCCCTCTTTTTCCTCCCTTTCCTTCCCCCTCTCTCCAGTCAGATCTCTCCACAAATCCTACCAAAACCTCATCCTGATGAAACCCAAACCTTCTTTTCCTCTTCGCAGGCTCCGAGACCTTCGGGACCTGATCCCGTTCTACCTGTGCAAAACTGGGAATTTCCTGGATGCTGCCCATTCCCTGCTGATCCCTGTGAACAGCCTGGCCTGCTGCACTGCCTGCAGGATCACTCCCTGCCAGTTCAAGATCTACCTCAAGATCTTCAGGACAGGCTGTGTTCCCTCTGGGAATGAGATGCTGGAGACAGGGCCCTGGCTTACAGCTGGCAAGTGTCCTTCCTTCCAGCTGGGAATTGGGTGAGGGTGAGGAGACCCCTGGATCCCTGGAAGTGTCCCAGGCCAGACTGGGCAGGCCTTGGGGCAGCCTGGGATAGTGTTGGGTTGGAACTGGATGGGCTTTGAGGTTCTTTCCAACCCAAACCATGAGAACAGCAGGCAGGAAGGATGACTTGGTAGTGCAGCGTGGGTTTATTCGCTTCACTTTGCTCAAAACACTCATTTTGTCAGCTGTGAGCTTCTGCTGAAAGCAGAGGAAGAGAAAGGATTAAAAGAAAGTCCAAAGTCCTTCATTCCCTGCCAGCATGGCCACTGTCAGTGGGGACTTGGCTTTGTGGCTCAGCCATGACCTTGAGGAGGAAACCTCCTGATGGGAAATGTTTCATTGTCAGAGTCATTAGCTCTGGTAATTGTCATCATCTGTCCTGGGCTTGCTGCTTCTCAGGGTGTCTCCTGCCGTGAAAGATTGATTTGGGGGTTGTTCCCTGCTGGCAGAATTCTTGGAAGTGTGAGATCCCTGGGAGTGTTGTGACTGGAAGTGTGAGATCCCTGGTGTGGTGTGATATCCACAACAAACACTTCCTTTGGGATCACCTGGCTCTGTCTGGATTGTGTCCAGTTCTTTGCAGCTTTCCAGAACTGTGTTTCGTGGCTGATACTTATCTATTCCACCAACAAACCTGTGTAAAACAGCTGCAAACACTTGCTGGCTCTGTAGGAACAGGTCTGTGAGCAGGTGAATATCCTGGCTGTGTTCCTGCTCTGGAGTTCTTTGAGGTGTGTAGGATCTGGGTTTGATTCTTTTCATTTCCATCCCTGCAGGCTCTCCCCTGAGGAACACTGTGCTAATTAAGCAGGCACTCAAACTGCTCTACAGCAGTGAGGCACTCTACAGGAACGTGAGTGAAGCCAAAATTCCCTCTTCTCTCCTGTTCCCACTCCTTCAGAGCGCTAGGATTTACTGACCCTTCCTCTCTCTGAGTAATTTACCCCTTTGAGCAGATTTCACTTTGTAACACAAATGTTCTATTGTTTTTTTAGGCCAAATGTTGGAGTTCGTTCATCATGATTTTGGGGAGCAGCAATTTGCTGGAAAAGAGGGGGAACCTGCTTCCCTTATCCCTGAAGGAGCCCCCCCTTAGCTTCCAAGAGGTACCAAACAGTGCTGGGAGAATCTACTGGGTTTGGACAAGATTCCATTGGATGTGGGAGTTTACTCCTCCTCCCAAATGCCAGAATTAACTTCCAGTGCCTCACCCCGTGCTCCTGTGCCCAGGGTGACTCTGCAGGACGTGGGGATTCAGGAATGTTCCAGGCACCTGGAAATGGGTTAATTCTGCTCCCAGCTCATGGCCTGGGACTGGTTCTGGATCTGCTCATGGGGAGCTGGATCAGATCAAAAAGGGCCTGGAGAAGGGGGAATGGCTTCCCACTGCCAGAATTCCTGGCTGTGAGGGTGGGCAGACCCTGGCACAGATTCCCAGAGAAGTTGTGGCTGCCCCTGGATCCCTGGCAGTGCCCAAGGCCAGGCTGGACAGGGCTTGGAGCAGCCTGGGATGGAGGAAAGTGTCCCTGCCCATGGCAGGGGGTGATTTTTCCATCTCAGCCCTACAAAAATGGAAGAATTTTTGATAGGGTTTGGTTGGTGCTGTAGAGCCTCAACATCCCTTGAGTGTGATGTGGAACAGGCCACCACCCTCTGCAGAAATGCTGGAAAAATCACTGAGAAGCACATTAAAATCCCATTTCTGGCACAGTTTGGGGTTGGTTTGGGGAGGATCTGTCACCCTTGTCCCTCACTGTCCCCTTGCAGAATGTGCTGGCTGCCAGTGCCAACTTCCTGAAGGATCTCAAGTCTGGAGTTAATGTCTCTTTACCATCTGCTATTTTCACTGGTGAGGTGAGTGATGACAACAAAGGAGTTTATTCCCAGCAGTGAAGAATGTTGGCTTATTAAGAAAACCTTTAAGAGGGGCCTGGAGGGTTTTTTGGGGGGTGATCAGTTTAAGATTAGCACGGTCTAAACTCTGGAGCAGATAGGAAGGTAGAGAAATGAGGGTTTCTTCTGCTCTGCACATCTTCAATCCAGGAGGAATCTGTATTCCTGTCCAAATTTATGGATTTGTAAAGGAGGAGGGCTGGGAATAATTGATTGTGTCTTAACCTCTCCCAGGGTTTGGCTCAGACAGGACACTGGGGCTTCTCGTGTCAATACTCAGATTGCCCAGAAGTTCTAAATTTCTTTTAAATGAAGAGTTTTAGGTATGTGGAAGTTGTTTTAAGGTGGCAGGGAAAAAATTCCATGTTCAATGAAGTCATCTAAGGAGCTGCCTTATTCTTTTTTACCTTTTTGGAGGAAATTTTAGTTTATTCTCCAAATATGTGACTCCTGAGCTGGATTTTTTTCCCCTTTAATTCCCTGTTTCTGCTCCTGTGTGAGATTCCACATTTCTCTCAGCACTGAGAAGCACCAGAAATAAAATCCCTGTTCCATTCCCCTGGTTTTTAACTCTTGGTGTGTTTCTTGTGGATTTGTTGTGTGACCTCCAAGCTCTCTGGCTGAACTGGAGGAACTCAGTGCTGGTTTTGAGTGGATAAATAAAGAGAAAGGGGCTGTTAAATCCATTTCTTTCCTTGTTGCTGTCCCTTGTGTAGCTGCACCATGAGGCTTCTTTCATCCTGGCAGTGCAAGCAGTGCAGCAGATGCTTTGTTGTGACCTTCCCCACTTGAATTCCTTCATAGAGCTAGTCCTGGCTTTTGGGGTGAGTCCTAGAAACTGATTCCTGTTCTAAGAGATTAAAACAAATAATTTTGAAAATGTTGTGATGATGAAACCACTGTCCTGGAGGTTTTAGCTACATTTAATTTGACTTTAATCTTTATTTTTTTAATTTATTTTAAGGAATGATTGGTGCTGAGGTTAAATCACTGATCAAATTTTATCTCTTAGAAAAACTTCTGGCCTCTGAGGCTGTTGCTGGACCAACTTTCCTATGAGGAGCACATCCTGTGTGGCACTGCCAACCTGCTTTTGAGGGATCTGAGTCGGGAGAAAGCCATGATGCTGAGAGTGTGAGTCAGGCCCCGCTCCCAGAGCAGGGAATGCAGCAGAGGGATGATCTGAGCTCTTGGGAAGCAGCTTGGGCTGAGTCAGGGATGGAAATCTGGGCAATGCACAGGTGGAGTTGTTGGAGTTCCTTCATCCTGATTTGGGGAGCAGCTGCTTCCCTCATCCCTGGGAGAGCCCCCCTTGGCTTCCAGCAGTGCTGGGAGAATCTCCTGGCTGGGGTTTGGATAAGATTCCATAGGATGTGGGAATTGTCTTCTTCTCCCAAATGCCAAGTTAACTTCCTGTGCCTCAATCCTTCTGGTTTTGTTGTTCAGGTGGGAGAACCTTGGTCCTCAGTACGTGGGGGAGTTCCTGTGCCTGTTCCTGACCTCCAGACACAAGAGGATGCAATCCGTGGGGCTCCTCAGCCTCAACATGGTCATAGAGAACCTGCACCTGTGAGTGAGGGGGAGCCTGAAATCCTGGGATTGTCCCAGAGCTCCTGAAATCCTGGGATTGTCACACTGGGATTGCCCCAGGGCATCTGAAATCCTGGAATTGTCCCAGAGCTCCTGAAATCCTGGGATTGTCACACTGGGATTGCCCCAGGGCATCTGAAATCCTGGAATTGTCCCAGAGCTCCTGAAATCCTGGGATTGTCACATTGGGATTGCTCCAGGGCACCTGTAATCTTGGGATTGTCCCCCTGGGATTGTCCCAGGGCACCTGAAATCCTGGGATTGTCCCAGAGCTCCTGAAATCTTGGGACTGTCCCCCTGGAACTGCCCCAGCCCAACCTTCACATCCTGGGGTTCTCCCAATCATTTTCCCATAAATCTGAGATCACCTTGGCTTGGAGCTGTGAACTGTTGGATTTTTGTGGGGTTTTTGAGTCATGCAAAGCCAGCAGTGGCTGCACCTGTGGCCAGCTGGGAGGGAATGAGTGGGAATTCCTCTCTGTTTCAGATGTCCCTGGGCAAAGCAGCTCTGCACCTTTTTCCACGAATCAGTGAGTATCCAAATTTTTACAGTATTGAACAGCAAAGCAGATCAATGAAACCCCTATCAAATAAATACTGAAATGCATCATTTTGTATAAAAAAAAACCCAAAACATTCCTGAAGGGGGAATTGTCTGTGTTTTGTCTCTTCCCAGGGGTTGAGGCAGCTCCCCTTTGGCACCACAGTTCACCACGAAGTTTCCAAGTTTGTCAGTGCCTTTGAGAAGCTCTGATTTGGACCAAATCCTCAGGAATGTTTTCCATTTGTTTTTTTTGCATCTGAGCGGTCTCTTCCTGGAGAGTTCCTTGGGTTTGCTGTTGTTGTTACCTCCAGGAGCCGTCAGCTAAAAACTGACTTTGCTGGCTCTGCAGTGGGAACAGAGCCACGTTTTGGGAGTTTGTTGGCAGTTCCACATATTAAGGAGTTGTTGGAAGAGGCAGCAGGTTGGAGTCGCTTCCAGAAGCTGAGAAAAGCAGGGAAACACAGATGGAGCAAGAAGCAGCAAAGGATTTTTCCTCCTGTTGGGACACAAACCAAACTGCTGAGAGGGAAAAGCTTTAACCCAGGAGAAGGAGCTGACAACTCTCTCTGCAGCAGTTTGGGGTCAGGTGCTCTGATTTTGGGTTTCATTCTAAACCAGGAGGCTGGAAGATAAAACTGAGCTTTACAACCCTAGGGTGGGGCAGCCAAGAGCTGAGTTTACTTGAAAATAATCCAGATTTCAAGCTGGGGTTTTATTTTCTGCTGAGAAGAAGGTTTAGGTTGGTGCTGGTGCCTCTGTGCATTTCCCAAATCATAATTCTGGGGGGAATTAGGAGTTCACTCCGACCTGGGGAGATGAAAGAACCTTTTGGAGCCTGGTCTGGGCTCTGTCCCTCTCTGCACTGCTTGGGCAAGCAGGAAAACAAACCTTAATATGTGACCCAACTGCACTTTGCACAATTCCAAGGGTCTGGGGGCTTCTGCAACTCCTGTCAGCCCAAATTTCCTAAAAAAAAAATGCACCTGGATGGAAATTGGACACCTTGGGAATTAAAACTGTTCAAGTTTCATTGTTACATTGGCATTTTGGGTGGTTTTTATTTGGTGGTTTATTTGGGGTGGGATTTTTGGGGTTGGATTTGGGGTTTGGGGTTTTTTATTTTTGTTTTTTGTTTGTTTGGAGTCTTTTGTGGTTTTATTTTTTTTTTATAAATTGGGTTTTGGTCCTGTTTCTTGGAGGGTTGTGGGGTTTTTGGTCCTGGTTTTATGGGGTTTTTGGGGTTTTTGTGGTTGGGCTTTTTTTGGCTTTGAGGTTTTTTCACCTCTTTAGGGTTTTTTTTGCTTTGTGTTTATTGTTGGGATTGGATTTGTGGAATTTTTTTAGGGAGGGTTTATGTTTTTTTAGGAAATTGAGGGTTTTGGGGGGTTGGGGTTTTTTTTAGGATGTTAGGATGGTTTTGGGGGGTTGGAGTTGAGAGGGATTTGGGAGGATTTAAGTTTTTTTAGGAAATTGAGGGATTTGGGGGTCTTAGGGTTTTTTAGAGTTCAGATTTTTCTTTGGCTGTCAGGTTTGGGGTTTTTTTTTTTGAGGTTTGAATTTTTGTTTTGGGGGTTGGACTGGGCCAGGCTGAGTCTCCTCCAGATCCCCCCATCCCAGGACCCCAAAAAGGGAACGGGAATAGATTTAGGGCAGGTGCTTTGTCACCTTTGTCACCTGGATTTCTTCCCCTTGGCACAGAAAATCTGGGAAGCACTTCCTTAGGAGCAGCCTATTAAATAATGATTGAATTTTTTATGGATGAGAAAAACCTTTCCTGGAGCTCTGCTCTTCCCTTTGGGCCTGGAATCATCCTGAAGGAAGGCTGAGCTCTGCTCCAGGTGAAATGGAGAGGAACAAAGCTCATTAAAAATGGGAAAATGTCCTTTGGAGCAGGAAATGGGGCCCTGGAGCTGCCTCATCCCAATGAGCAGACACATTGTGGAGGGAGCTGAGCTGGGAGGAAGTGACAGCACCAAAAGTGACATTTCTCCTAAAAACTGTGATGTTGCACCTAAAAATTGTGAATTTTCACCTGAAAGTGGTGACATTTCTCCTGAAAATGGTGACATTGCACCTGAAAATTGTGAATTTTCACCTGAAAATGGTGGATTTAAGGGATTTTCCTGAAGTCTGGAGTGGGAATGTCCTCCCCAGCTCCAGAGGGAGCTGTCCCTGCCTTACCTGGGGACAGCAGGGTCACCTGTGCTGGCAGCTTGCAGCACCAAGGACCCTCATCCACTAATTGCTTACATTTCTAATTAATTGCTTACATTTCTAATTAATTACTTATATTTCTAATTAACTCTTTCAAATTGCTTCACTTATTCCCAGTGCAGTGAACAGAAATCCACTCTCGGTGTATTTAAGGAACATTTCCACCCCTCCAGCCCAAACACTTCGCTGCTGCTGGAGGCTGAGCCTGGATTTCCATAAAAACCCTCTGGAATTGGGGACTGAACATTCCTGGAATGGCACAAACAGGAGGGAGCTGGAAAAAAGGGCTCAGCCTGGAGAAAATGAGGATCCAGAAAGGGAAGAACTTTGCAGGGGAGCTCTCCCCAAATTTGTATTCTTTTTTTTTTTCCCCTCACGTTTTCACCCACTTTTTGATTTTTCCCCTCATGATGGGAGAGATGAGGAAAGGCTGGAGAATTCCTGAGGGAGCTGGGAAAGGGGCTCAGCCTGGAGAAAATGGGGATCGTTTTGTCCTTCCCTACAAATCCCACATCCTTAATTTTAATTTTTAATCCTTAAAGGGCGCTGCCCTTTCATCCCCGCGTGTTCCGTCCCAGCCTCTCACTGCTGCTGCTTCTCCTCCTCCTGCTTTCCCGGCTTTTCATTCCCAACTTCCCAACTCTTCCAGGGAACGGGGAAGAGCCACAAAATCCGGGGGGGCAGCACAGAGGGAAAGGGATCGGGGAAAGGATGCGGGAAGGGATCGGGGCAGGGCTCCGAGCAGGGATGAGGGAAAGGATCCGGGCAGGGATACGGAAAAGAAACGGATCAGGGATGCGAGCAGGGATTCGGGGCTGTCCTGCACCCATCCCTGGAGCCCTCGGGGGGCCGGGATAACCCCAATTCCAGAGCCCTCGGGGGGCCGGGATAACCCCAATTCCAGAGCCCTCGGGGGGACCGGGATAATCCCAATTCCAGAGCCCTCGGGGGGACCGGGATAACCCCAATTCCAGAGCCCTCGGGGGGACCGGGATGTGCCTCCATCCCGGGCGCTCCAGCGGAGCCAAATCCCCCGGGAGCGGCGGGGGGAGGACGCTCCCATTATCCGGCTCCTGCCGCACCAGCCGTGCATTACCAGATTATCCCGAGCATTTGGGATCTCCGGGAGCCAGGGAAGCGCTCGCGGGAGGAGCACGGGCAAGGCCAGGGCTGCAGACGCGGCCCCATTTCTCTGCTGCCGGCATTCCCAAGCCAGGTGGGAGCGGGACGCGCCGGGAATGCTGCGGGAGCGGGGAAGGGGCTGATCCCGCTCCCGGCTGGAGTTCCGGGGGATGCCGGGGCTGGGATGGAGCCGTGCCCGGGGGAGGATTTCACCTTCCCGGCACCTCCAGCCCTTCCCTGCCCTTTCTCCGGGAGCCCTGGCGTGGGGCAGGGGACATCAGCAGGTTTGGGTGGCACGGGGGCCGCACCGCTGTCGGCGCTGCTTGAGCCCCCTCAGCTCCCTGCCTCAGTTTCCCCATTGCTCCCGTGCTCCCGCAGGGTCCCTGCTGGGGGTCAGTGGGGTGGGGGGTACAGAGGGGTTTGTTTTGCTCCCCACATCTCTGCTGGCCTCCCCCCCTCCCCGAGCCATTTCCAGCGCTCTTTAGGCAACCCCAAATCCCTCCCGCTCCCTTCGGAGCCGTGGCCAGGCAGGAAAAGGACAAAACCCCCTTCCCAAAGAGCCTCTGGCTGCTCTTTGCTGCTCCCCACCCAAATTTCAGTCAAATCTGCCTCAGTCCCTGAGTTTTGCATGAGAGGGGCGCTTTGCCTCAACCAAAACATTCCAAAAGCTCCTGGAGCCCTTGGCTGCTCTGCTCTGGGCTTGGAAACCTCCCCCGGAGCCTGGGACACGCTGTCCCCATCCTGAGGGAGCCTCTGGGGGGAAATTCAGGGATCAGGGCAGGACAAGGCACCAAAATCCCCGTTCCCAGCCCAACGGAGCCCTCGGAGAGCGCGATGGACGAGTGGGATCTCCCACAATGGAAAAAAGAGGTGGAAAGCCTCAAGTACCAGCTGGCCTACAAGAGGGAGATGTCCTCCAAGACCATACCTGAGTGAGTGGGGGCTTCCCTTCCCGCACCTTCCCGCACCTTCCCGCACCTTCCCGCACCTTCCC